GGCAACAAATGAACAAATGACCAGAGGAGGCACCTGCAACTCCGGGGGATTTAGGACAGAAACTTCTGGATCTGGGCAGAGCAGGCTACTGGAGGGCACGTCTATAACATAGGCTACTGGAGGGCACATCCTTGGCAGGAACCTTACGCTTGTCCTTATCCTTGTCAGAAGACTTGGGAACCAGCAACGATCTGTCTGGAGGACGACTCAACATGCAATCATCACATAGGACCTCCTCCGATCAAGAACGGCACTGTGGACACGACGAATGGGGGTCTAACTCACTATAGAAATGAGAAAAACACTGTACTAAACAAGAAAGGATAATGTGTTAAAAAACTTCACCCCCAAAAAAGCAACAGATAAATACACTTTTAATTTTTTTAATAAATACTTTATGAATATTCCCAAAACTCTTTTACATGTTTAAGTTTTTACACTCTACAATTATTTAACCTGACAACACAAGTTTTACCAATAATTAATTTAGATGTATAAATACAAAAATAAGACAAAAGTTTCCCTCCAAATTTAATACATATGCATTACTTTTTATTACCAGAATAATTGTGCCTTGAAGGGCAGGTTTGACTGATTTTCCCCTTGTTGCACTTTGGACAACCAGATACTTCGGTGTAAAGAAGTAGTCCAGTAAGCATTGAGTCATTCAACTCTCACTTTTCATGGCTTTTTTCTCATCAGTGCAAGCTTTGTGTCATTCACATAAACTTGATTGCCATCTGATAACACCTGAAATGAGAGAATGTATCACATTAATTAAAATTAAAATATCTTCCTGCATATATTATGTAATTGTCAGTTCTATTTACAATTACTCCTGAATTACACATTTCATGAAATTTATTTACAATAAAACATGTCATATTTTAATACATTTTATATCTTGAAACTTAATATATATATATATATCTCCCCTATGGAAGACTTTAACTTCAAAATGTTATACTTTAACTTCAAAATGTAAGAAAGACTTTATAAAAGCTGTTGGTAACTACAGTCATCCCCTTTTGAAACCATGAGTAGTTATGCACCCTGGGGGCAGGATCTGGCCAAAGTTACATCATGATCAGTAGTGTACAACAATAAGCAGCTTTACTTCCTGATATGAGTGTTTCTATAATTTCTCAATTGTGTTGCATGTATATTTAGTATCCAAGTACCTTTGTGATTTGTGTCAGAAGTAAACAATTACATCTACATTTCTCATATTGATTTCAATAATAAAAATGTCAACAATTAGTTACATGTATTATGCTTAACCTAACAATGCTTTGAACCACTAAAACCTGGTCTGCCACATTCAAATACCCTGGCAGTTATTTATACACGCAAATAACAACATCTTCTAACTTACTTGTATACATGTACTTATTGTAATTGATTTGTTAACAATACAGCTGTATATAATTAGCAGCACATATTTTTTTTAACTATTTCACAAACAAATATACTAGAAACAAACTGTCAATTTTTCAAACAAACCACTTGACCTAATACTCCCTAGTACGAGGCTGCTGTTATTATACTGGATGTATCCCACTAAATGGACATAAAAAACAGTATTAGGTTTTCATACTAACCTGCAGTTGTGCTATGAAAGTGAACTGGTATTTGCTCCTCTTGCTTATGTCCATAATGTTGTTTTCAGAAATTCACATTCTTCATAATTTGTCACACAATGCTACCATCCATGGCTAGGGCATTATCTCTATTAATCTCACAACTTCATGTACATGTGCATCAGTGTGAATTTAAACTGACCAATCACAAACCAGGGTTCTCGACTGGCCACATGTTTATACAATGTATTCTTGATTCTTATCTTTCAACAGCCTGCTACGAATAGCTCACATGAAATTTCACATGTGCTAAATGGACTTAGTTGTTTTTTAAATTTTACTACCTGCAGTCACATAAGCATTAACTTTCTCTAAGTCCAAATAGCTCACATAAGTCACACGAGCTTTCCAAAAGCCATATGAGCTTTGGTTAGTTTACAGAAGAAAGCTCATGTGCAAACCAGGTGTGCTAAAACATAGCTCACCTCAGCTAACGTAAAGTTCATATGGCTCACCTTATTTGCATATGATGTTAACACCAATCGCATGTGCTTCTCATGTGAAGCTCATGTGCAGTACATGTGCTTTTGGTAGCCTTCTCTATACGGGGTATGTCGCGTACTACTGTTGGTTCCATACGCCCCCAGTCAAGGTCACATTGAGGTAAAAAGTCAAATACTTCTCTCCGGGTCATAGTTTCAGACCCGCTGAAGTTCTATGAATGAAATTCAATGGATTAATGCAGGATCAGAAGGCAATGTGTCGTACTCCACTTTTTGGTCTGTATGCTCAAGGTCAAGATCACATTAAGATCAAAATTAATCCAGTCTTCTTGAGTGATTAATATTTTAACATTTTGATAATTCTGTCACAGGTGTGCATTAGAAGTGATAGACACCCCTGCAGATGGGGGATCGGGAAAAGAATACACCACCTGTTACCCACTGCATGCTTCGTAGGAGGCGACTAATGTTGAACCCCCCTTCAGGATTGGGGATTTGCTTTGGTTCCCTCTACTTAAGGATACAAAAGCAACCAAAATAAATCTGCTGCGCCCATTGCAGTATTTGTGATCTCTATATCTTTCTTTCTACTTCTAACTACATTTTATTTCCTAGCACCTTGCTTATTGGCAACAACTCACTTTTGGCTTGTTGGTTGAACGAATCTCGCCCAGATGAGAAAGGCAATGGGTTCTGTCCCCAGGCCCGAACATACTAATGTCCTTAAAATGGTAGTTGTTATTCCCTGCTTGACGTTCAGTATTAAGTGGAATGGCAAAACCTGGTTCACCCATTGTCAGTATAATGTGACCGGGCAGAATGCTGTGCTGGGTGCCTACGGCATGGTATATCCGTGAGATAGCGCAGATCTGTATCATAAGGAGGCAAGCGCACCAACATACCCTGTCTCCTGCATTCACACAGGCAAGCACGCATACACTACACCCATGGAGGCACATCCTTAAATGACCTTAGCTGTTAATAGGACGTTTAACAAAATTGAACCAAACAAAACCAGCATGTATGATGTTTTTTATAGTTGCTTCTAGGACTTGTACAACTTAATCAGCCAATCAGCACAATAATGAAAAAATCTCGCACTCTCCCGGTTCAATACAAGAGCACTTTTATACGCCCGTCAAATTTGAAGGGAGTATATGGTCTGGCGTTGTCCGTCCGTCCGGCGTAAACTTTTGTTTGTCCGGCAATCGCCTCCTACATTGAAACTTGGTATAAATTATAATCATGATATGAAGTTGTATCTCCCTTAAAAGAATTCTGATTCGACAATTTTTCCAAAAGTTATTGCCCTTTGTTCATTTTAGTATTTGATTTTTGTCAGGCAATCTTCTCCTACATTTTTTGACATATTTCTTTGAAACTTAGTAGGCTAAATAATCATGATATGTTGTTGTGTTTCCTTGAAAAGAATTTTGATTCAACGATTTTTGCAAAAGTTATTGTCCTTTGTTCATTTCTGGTCTGAAGAATTAAACAGCAAGTTATAAATTTGCAAATCAACCGATTTTCCTCGATAACATAAAACTGTATACACATACTTTATATGGCAAGCGAAAGTGGAAAAAGTCTTTATTTTGTATTATTAGCTCACCTTGTCCGATGGACCAAGGTGAGCTTATGCGATACCGTGGCGTCCGTCGTCCGTCAACAATTTTTTGAACGACTTCTTCTTCTTAATCACTGATTGGACTTTGACTGAATTTGACTGGAAACATCCCTAGGTGGTGAGGATTTAAAATTGTACAAATAGTTGAGCTGACCACCCAGGGGGCTGAGGGGCGGGGCCATCAGGGGCCAATTTGGCTAAATATTGCTTCAAGCGACTCCTTCTCTGGAACTAAGAGATGGATATCAACCATATTTCACTGGAATCATCCCTAGGTGGTGGGAATTCAAAATTGTACAAATGGTGTTGCTGACCAGCCAGGGGGCTGAGTGGTGGGGTCAAAAGTGGGCAATTTGGCTATTTTGTTTTAAGCGACTTCTTCTCTGGAACTAAGAGATGGATATCAACCATATTTGACTGGAAGCATCCCTAGGTGGTGGGGATTTAAAATTGTACAAATGGTGGGGCTGACCCCCCAGGGGGCAAAAGGGGCAATTTGGCTATATTGATTTAAGCGACTTCTTCTCTGGAACTGAGAGATGGCCCATGGATATCAACCATATTTGCTTGGGAGTATCCCTTGGTGGTGGTGGGGATTCAAAATTGTACAAATGGTGGGGCTGACCCCCCAGGGGGCTGAGGGGTGGGGCCAAAAGGGGCAATTTGGCTATATTGCTTTAAGCGACTTCTTCTCTGGAACTGAGAGATGGCCCATGGATATCAACCATATTTGCTTGGGAGTATCCCTTGGTGGTGGGGATTCAAAATTGTACAGATGGGGTAGCTGACCCCGCATGGGGCAGAGTGGCGGGCCCAAAAGAGGGCAATTTGTTTATATTGCTATAAACGACTTCTTCTGTAGAAATTTACCATGGATATCGACCATATTTGGTCGGAAGCATCCATGGGAGGTAGGGATTCAAAATTGTACAAATGTTGTTGCTGACCCCCAGGGCAAAGGGGTGGGGACAAAAAAAGTTTATTACTTGGAAATGGTTGAGATCCCCACCGTATAACCATATATACAATTGCTGAGCATAAAGAGAAGAATGCACAGTTGTTTCCAGGCTGGCCCCACCCTTGGAGACATAGTCCCTTGGTCATAACTTTGAAACGGTAGAGATCCCCTCCCCAAAACTATATATACAAATGCAGGGCATAAAGAGACGAATGCAGTCATGATATTAGAATAGACCCTGGGGTCTGACCGAACCCCTAGGGACCTAGTTTCTTACTCACAGCTTGGAAACGGTTGAGATCCCTGAGAAAGACGCTTGCCGATGAACTTATTGACATCTCATCCTTCAGTGCAGATGAAACAGTCCAGCTGTAACTTAACAGTAATTCTCACCCGCTTATATCAACAGATGGTCATACAAATATTGAACAGATTAGTGGTGGACTTTGCTTTGCCTTACATAGTGCACGTATAAACCTATTGTGCTAATGGGAGCCATGAATGTGCGCTCAACTCTCACGAGAGACAAGAAGATCACAGAACTTCGTTTTTATCATAATAAGTTTTTATGATAGTGTGATAGGACTTTATATGGAACCATTAACCTCGAGTGGATCTGCAGTTCTTCAGGAAGTGGAGGAATCTACAACAACAACAACAACATGGCTGGTTGGAGTCGATTGGCACGACGAGGTGCCGTTTTTTTTTGGTGGGGTTGCAGTTGCGGTAGGCGTTATATATAACGAGTCACAGAAACATACTACCAAGGCATCATGGACTACAAATGTCGAACCAAGTGTGAAATGGGACCACAATTGGGACAGGTATGTCGTAACATGCGAAATGTAATTCGCTAGTCGGTCAATGCATTACCGGACCGGAATAATCCTTACAAGACATTTTCGGTCTGGTACGACTTTAAATTTATATGAACTGGTTGTATGTATTCACGAGACTTTTTTAAAAATTGAATTTTAATAAGCTTTTTTTTAACACAAACATTGCGGAGAACTCTTAATACTTGGGGAAAGTGTATCAATTTCGACCGGGAATACAATTTCGGCTACCTTTTGAGCACAGGTAGCAATGCACAACAATCTTTTTTCCCACTATCTTTTGCATTCAAACTGCACTTTATCTTGTACATATTGTTTTCCAGGTCACAAAACAGAAAACAGATTGAAAATCGGTTGAAAAATGAATTTTGTATACACTTTTGAAAATCCAACAAATAAAATAGTGTTTGTTTTCCAAATTTGAAGAAAAATGTTCTCTTCGTAACCTGGAAAGATAAATTAAATTTTTCACTAACTTTCGATGAATGAATTTGCCAACTACAATGCTCTATCTAATAAGAAGAGCAATCTTCCATTTTTCTGCAAGATAACACAGTTAAAATTATTATAAAGTCCAGTAAATGTGATATTACATCCCCTTGGCAAAGTTTGGAACTTACCAAAATTTGTCAAATTTACCTTCCTCTAGTCTTTTTATGCGTCTATGATGTTGATCTTGCAGAGTGCTTCAAGGGTTACTGAAAGTCAAATTTATGATTAATTAGCTACTTTTCATATATTATTTTGAAGTTTTTTACTGGTATAGAAATCAATATTTATATAATAGTATTTATATTTTAGTCAAAATAAACCATTACAAGGGCGTCCCTGATTATAAGAACAGTTTATATTATCACACAGCATTCATCTTATTGTATTTTATCTTAGTACAGAAGGAGTTAAATTGAAAGTTTTATTATAATCATCACAAATCAAAGTATCAACATGGAAATCATCATTAAAGGCGTGCATTCCTCATTGTCAGATTAATTGATTCTTCATTTTTTATATTTTTTTTTTATTTTCAAAATAGTTTACAATACAGTGACAATAATAATGGATTAGTAATTCATTCAGATCATATGATAACCTATTTGTCACCAATCATCTTTCATATCACCACTCATACCATACAAATTATGCAAAAAGAAATTTGTATCACGAAAGACTGCATAGGGATAGGTATTATTTCATTTAATATCACACTGTATTGCTATAAGGAAGAAGGAAGGATAAAAGGAGAGAAAAAGAAGCTGGTAAGAAAACAAAAAAGAGAAAGAAGAAAAGATAAAGACAGATATCAGAACAAGCATGTCAGGGAAAAAAGTCACAACAGAGCTAGATACTAATTAAAGTTAAGTAACAGAATTGTTACTGAATAATTAAAATATCAGCCTAAATCATGTCAGGTTTTAGGGAAAATCAACTAAATGATTCTTCATGATTTGTGTTGGCATCAACTGTATCAACAGCAACTCAGTGTGTAGCTGACTAACTTGGTACAACGACCAGGTTTCCTGCCGCATAGTCCTCCTGGATCTTGTACACATACACGGCGGGATCATCTCTGTACTTAACGTTGTACCACTCCGGGAAGCCTGGCACCACTGACAATACTGTTCCATAATACCACTTGTCCTCAAACTTGTGCTTTACTTTCTTACTAACAAGAAGGGGCTGTTCTCGTTGAGGAGTCTCTGCCATTGTTCCTATCTTAGCCTCATTTACCAACAACTTAAGGTTTTCCAGAAGGTCATGGAGTGTCCTCTTCTTTTTTCCAGTGGAAAACACAAATATGTCTTTCTTGTCTGAGACTTGATGGAGGACTTTAAAAAAAAATGTAATTTGGGCTTTTACAGCTATGATCTTTTCTGTGACTGTCTTCATCTCTTGCAAGTGGTTTTCAATATCTTCCTCTGCCTGCCTTAGACCGAAATAAAGGATGTCTGATGTCATCTTTTCTTTCCTATGGAACAGTCGTTCTTCTTTTCCTTTAATTCTCGTTCTTTGCATCTTAAGGTTTCCATCATTTCATTCTCTATGGCTCTAACTCTTTCTTGAAATTTCGTACGTAGATGACGCCAATCCTTGCGAGCACGAGTCAGAATGTTATGTCTTCGATCAGGGTCCATGGACGCTTACCACTGACTGGTTTTATTGTGTGAAAACACTAGAAATGCTTCATTACATATAACAGAGGCATTCGGACGATACTTCATTAAGAAGTTCAACTGACCAAAAAAGAACTCCGGCAGCTTGTTGTGTTTTGTGGTACTGCGTGATTCCTCCCACAACTTAGACTTTGCTGTGAAATATTTGCCTCCACTCACATGGTCTGATGCCTGTCTCTTCAGGAGGTGAAACGTTGCCTCAAATAGGCACTGCAGGATTTCTATGGTGAGTGGATCAAGGTGCTCATCCCGCTCTAGAAGTTCATCTACAGGGCCACCCCCAACCTCTGTATTGGAGAAAGTAAGTGGGTTGGTGGTGAAAATGTCCTTAGCATTATATTTTCCATTTTCAAAACAATCCATGAGATTTGAAAAAGTTTCTGCCATTTCCAGGATGTGACTATTGGATTCTATTACCGGCCACAGTGGTGCATTTACATACTTTGATATAATACCAAGAGCACGGCATCCGGCAATGTAAGTAGGAATTTTTAAATCCGACAGCACTGACTTGAAAAAGTCTGTTGGCTGCCCCATGCACATTTTCAAGAAACTCCTTTATGTTTAGGTTATGATGGTAGGTTATTTTTCCTAACACAAACATAATATTGAATGTGTTATGTTGAAAACGAACAAAAGACACTTTGTCTCTTTTTTTTAACAAAAGTTTTGAATTGGCCATGAGCACCATTCCTCTCTTCGCCTCCCCTGCAGAATGCTTTGCTGGCAGTCCTTATCAAACGAACAGTTCCACTTGCATCTCTCTTGAATTCTGCATCTCTCTCTTTGTCACCTTCATCCTCCTCTTTTCTTCCAAGCTTCAGTGTCTCAAATTTCGTGAGCGCTTCGGGACAGACCTCGGCAAAATTGACTAAAATGTGAAGACCACAACTTTTTTTTTGTTAATCCTCCCACATCCTGCTTGCTCCTCTTGGCTCCTCTTTTCCCAATCATTTTTGATCTGTGGCAATACATCCAATCGATAGGCCTCCAGCAATTAATGAGACTTTTTTCTGTTGCAGCACGGTCCGACATTGTGTTTTTCACATTTGCCAAGATGTGGTGGCCGGTGTCAGTTCTATCAGTTATGTCATTTATATCTTCGAGGATTTCCTTAAATGTCTCGCAAACAGTACTTGAAGATGTATTGTTCATTTCCCTGAGTTCTAGCATGTATGTGTTTTTCTCTGAATCTGAGACAGCAAAACCCTCGAATGCCCTGCCATATTTGGAAGTCTCGTCAGAATACAAAGTCAAATTATCTTTATTTGCGATATCTTCAAGTTGTCTCTGGGCAACACACAAACGCTGGTCATTTATCCTGTTTACCGTTTGTCTACATGGCAGCTTACTGGGTTCCTTCCCACACAACATACACACAGTTTTTATTACCTGGCTTACTTTCCCTGCTGCCAAATTATTATCTGAACAAATCCATCACACAATTGGTAAATTCCGTTGAATAACGTTTTTTTTTCCTCACTAAAAGTAGATATAGTGTTATCATTATCATCCTTTAGTAAATTTTGTAAATATTCATTCTCTTTTTCCAAAATGCTAACAGTAACATGTGTCCTTTCTACTTCCTCTTTTGCCTCTACTAGCATTTCTGCACTCTCAACCAAATATCCTTCCACTTCCACTTTCTCATTCTGTATAGCTTCAATGACTTTTCCTTTGATTTCCTTTTTCATTTCCTTCACACTTGCTTTTAATGTAACTTTGTCACATTCAAGTTGTTCACTTTCCTTCCTCACCTTTTCAATGTCCATACGTATCCTGGCTAAATCCTTATCTCTCACCTGAATATCTTCCTTCAACTTTTTACATTCAGATAGTTTGGTGTGTGCCCGGTCTAACTTTCTCTTAACAAGCTTCATCTGATATGAAGGTGGAGTCCGTGTTGGAGCACTTCTTGTACTTGTCGGTATGGTACATGTTGGAATCACAAAGACCTCTTGCAATAGAACTTTTGCTCCACTTCCTCCAGCTTTCTTTTTTTTCCACAGATTATATAGAGATGCTTTAAGAGCAGATGTTGAGATGTGTTCTATGTGTGTTAGTAAGTTTTGACATCCATAATGCACACTTCTCTATAAAAAAAATGTGTATTTTAACTTGCTATACAAAAAGTTCCAGGGCTTATCCCTTCTTTAGAATCACTGTTTCTGTAGTAAACCTCCTACAATCATCCTCAAGGTCTTTTTCTACAATCCCTTTTTCCGTACAATATGTTCCAAGTGTCATGTTTTACAATAAAGGTATACATACATATCATTTGTTAGTTTCTGTTCGAAACCCAACAATCTTTGAACTTGTTTACCTGTTCTGTAACTGACGGCAGGTTTCTCTTCAGTGAATCATTTTCTGCTTTCAGAAAGAAATATACTCTGCCTGAAAAAAAGATATACAGGGTTATTCAATTCAAATTGAAAGCAGCATATTTTGTTAAGAATTTAATTGCCATACACTTACTGAAATCAAGACAGCACAAGGATCATGAATGTTATCTCGTGTCACAGACACATGACTTAATAGTATTGTAAATATATACCTCCAATTCCTCATACGTGGGTTTTGGTTCAACTTCTCGATGCCTAGGGGGTCTTAAGACAACTTTAGATTTGTGAAAGGGTGAATCCTGCATGAAGTCCAAGGACGCATCACTGTCACTGATGTCTGCCTCCCTCTTGCGCTTCTACCCTGTCGTAGGCCGGCTAGGGCCAGGGGTTGACTGTGGAGATCTATCTAGTGTAGGTGACGAACTCACCAGGTCTATGACACTTTCAGCAGCTTGAAATCGACTTCCCGGGGATGGAGGCAGAGTTAAATCACTGTCCCTGTCAGATGCAAACAGGTCTTGAGAATATGGATTGCTGCCATAGCATAACCACAATTAATATAATAATAATTGCTATTTACCAAAACTGAAAGTTATGTTACTGTAGATAAATAATACATGTTACAGCATTGTGTGAATTCTTACAAATGGTATAGTTAACTTATAAGCAAGACTTAAGTCTAAGACTATTTCCGAATGAAAAGAAAGGAATATAATACATGAATGAAACATTTGTTCAGCTACTACAAGTAATTTTAAGTAAAAACATTACAGGAATCCAGCAGAATCATGTTTAACTAATCAGTTATTATATATGTTTTACTCCATGCCTATGCTAGTGTGTATATAAAGAAAGTTCGTGCTAAAACACATTTTGGCTTAATCTAACACTGTTAATACATAGAGTGTGTTTACTTTCACTTTCACTTCAGCGCGTTTTAATTTTAATGTAATCTACTAGTTAAGAAATCTCATTTCATACTCGATTTGTTAAAATTTGGGTTCCAATACCTTAAATGATGTGTTTGTTAATTTAAACGGGTGGTTTCCATACAAAAAAAGTGAGAAAATGTTTATTATGTAAGTCGTTTACACAGCTATTGACACTACGAACGGCCGCTATCTTGGATTGAAGCGCGGCTAATGGCATTGACACCAGGCTCGAAAAATATACATTTTCGTATGTTTCCCGGGATTGTCAAGTGTGTTATTATATTACAAACAATTCATCAATGCCTAAATATTGCAGATAGTATAGTGAGGGCAATTGACTCGGCTGAAATCAAGTAAATAATCGTATTTCAAGTTTTCGAAAAGTTACCATTTCTTACCCTTCTGCCATTTTTAGGATATGAAGCATGGTTTAACGAGGAGGATTCCGAATGAAAATATCGAGATCACTTCTACGTTTGTAAAGAATAGTTGAAATACCTAAATCCTCCGGATAGTAAACCCTATATTTTGGGTACGTGTTTTCAAGCGGTTTTGAAATACCGAGACGAGTTATCTGCCCTTTGCTTGAGCATCGCTAGCACAGGTGCTCGGGTTCTGGAATATATGTGATATATTCAGGTACATTGCATCAGGAATTACAGACGTTTCGCCCCAAACCAGTTCGCCCAAATTTTTTTCACATCGCCCAAATTGTCCTGCAAGTATGACAATCATATCGCCCCAAAAATTCCTTTTTCAGTTTTAGCCCCAAAATCTGTTTCGCCCCAAAGCCTATATCGCCCCAAAGTTCTGTATCGCTCCAACCACTACTAACTTATATTAAACGATATATGACATGATCTTCACTATGCTGAAGTAGGTCATCAAATGGTAGAGGTAGAAGTAGTAGAACTATATAAGGCAGTTAATGGGAGGAAGCGTCACTGTACCCAAATCTGGACCCTTTTCAGATAAATATCAATATACCATATTATCAGTTACAAAAGTGTTTGTTCATTTTTCATAAATAGATATTATTCACTTTTCATTTCTATCACAATTTGATATTTCGTGGTTCTATATATAAAAAGAACGTGCAATACCATCAGAGTTACGTAGGCCCATGAACCAATGTTACTGTACTCTGAAAGGGACACATCCGGTAATGCATTTTGGCGAATGTTTGGGGATATATGATCAATATTGGCAGAAAATATGCAAAGTTGAAATATTCTAGGGTCAACGAGGGTTCTGATTAAATTTCTTCTCCAAACTAGCATACGTTTTGATGAAATAGACTTTTGAAAATGATATCCAAATAAATAGCGTCGCACGGCACGTAAATCAGAAAGTCTTACCTTTGAATTGTCCATATTTTTATATTTTTATTTGTTTTAATGGTCTTGTAATGTTTTTGTAAAATATTGATTGTTTTGATGACTTACAGTTTGCATGTTGATGAAAGAGAACGTCAGTCAATTTTTGAAAAGTAAAAGATATGCCGATTGATATGCCAATTAAGTTGAGAAGCAAAAATACTGTTCTTACCCTTAAAGGTAATAGGTTTGTGTCACCATTTCTCAGTGGAATTTCTTCAAATTTTGAAGTTATATTGTTATATTTAAGTAAAGAAATTAAACATAATTTTAAATGAGTGTCAGAAATTGTAACACTGGAAATCTAATCGATTGTTTTCGCCTGAATCACTATATAACACATTTAGGTAGATAAGAAATAGCTACTAAAGAAGAAGACTGAAGTCCCTTTCATTTTAAATACGAACGTTACCTGAGTGACACCTGTATATATGTGTAACAGAAGCGGAAAAATGCACAGCAAGACTGGGGCTCCAAACCGGGACCCTCTGAACTCTAGACAGCGCTCTACCAATTGAGCTACCTGGTTGCTGTCGATAGACCAAGTCTAGTTCCACTTAATACTTATAGATCATTTTACCGAAAAGGTGGCCGAAATATCAGCACCCTCTGCAAGTTTAATTTATGTTCTGTGAATTGTAGGGAATAGGTGAGATCAGTCACCTTCTTTTTATGTGTGTAATCTTATTACAGGTTATGTATGACTTAACTCCCTTATGATCATAGCAAGGGGAATGAGAGCCCCAACAGTAAGTGACATTCAAGGACACAGCCAAGAAGGTTTCTGAAACTTAAAGCCATACTACAGCAGTATATCATGGAAAACATTTAGCATCTTCTTGTCTAGTCCAGGAGGTTTCAGAGCAATTATTTTCATCAATTTTGTGGGTTTACTGAACCCTCCAATTTTTGTGGGAAGCAATTTCCTTTCATACTGTATGACTGAAAACTTCCAAGAGGAAAAAATCCTTAAACTTGTGAATGTGAAGATTCAAAATTTACAAATGGAGGGGCTGACGACCCCCACCCACCACCACCACCACCACCACACCACCACCACCACCACGGGTGAGATTTGAGTTCAGACCAAAAAGGGGTAATTTTGCCATATTGCTTTAAGTGACTTCTTCTCTGAGTGTAAGAGAAATGCCTTTTTCTCTGGGACCAAGAGACCCTATCCCTAAGATCTTATTTGCCATGCTATTTTTATTGATAATCTTTTGCCATGATTGCTTACATAGATAGCCAGATGAGCAATCCAGGCCCTTAGTGCCTCTTGTTTATATTATGACAATACTCGGAACTGCTTGTACTTTGGTTTCATATTTTTTTAACAAAAAGGGAAAAAATACCATGAAATTTAAGCCAAAAAAATACTGTCATGATTAAGAATGGTTTACAAAAACGGAATAAAATAATTTTTGCTAATAACCTGCTAAACTGCGTTTGATGAATGCACCTAATCTGTTCTTAGATGTGATCCGGCCAGTTTAGTGAAACCATCCAAAAACAAGAATTCATCTGACGAAAAAGATGCTAAATATGCTGAAAATGAACTAAAGAAAAATACCCCAACAGCAACGCGTCATCTGCTGTTGATTCGCCATGGCCAATATAACACCGATGGTGAGGAAGACAACCAGCGATACCTCACAGAACTAGGTACGTTTTCTTGCGGCAAACTCAAACTGTATAGTGTATTAACTCTTTGATAACAACATGACTTCAATGTTTTGTATGATTTAACTTGAATGGAGATGTTGTTATACCAATGAATCTTCACTCCATCACAAATTAAATACCAATATACAGATCTTAAGTTGGTGTACAATTTTATGATGATAAGTACTAGACAGACATAGTTTGTAGAATGTTTTTTAAATTCTAAGAAAAATAATAAACAGTTATGGAATGGGTATGAGAGAAATAGCAACTTTATGATCCCCCGAAGTCATCGATTTAATAGCCTTTTTGGGTTCTTTATGATCATTATACCAACTCTGAATACATGAAATTATAGTTTTAACTTTTATTTAAACCTATCTTTTAATATGATCATTCTGTCCTTCCTACATATGCTGCATTTTGAGAACTCGGTCAAATGGGAAGAATTCACATAAATTCATACATTTTATATTTTTAGATTTCTCAATTTGGAATTTTAATGGTTAAATTGGGGAAAAATCAGAATATTTGTTCAATTGGGAATGGGTCCGTTTAACGGACCTAAAAAGTATCCTGCTAAACCCCTGTATTAGCACAGACAATAATTAAAAGTCTTTAACGGATGTGCCTCCATGTGTGCGTAATGCAGGAATGTGTAAATGTTAGAGGAAGAATGTTGGTGTGTTTGTCTCCCTTTGATAATGCAGATCTGATGCCCTCTTCAGAGTGCTGTCAGACTGAAATACGATGTCAGAAGTACCCAACACGTAGTCCACCTGGTTATACTTACAATCAGCTAGCATGTCGTTATGTTTACCGTAAATGAGTCGAGGAAGGAATACCAAGTTCCGTTTTTGAAGACACACTAGCCAGAGGCACCGGGTTATTGGAATTGTATGGTGGCATACGTTTTCCATCGCATTGACGACGAACGACTTAATGATGTCGACATAATCTCTGAACTATGTCCACATAATATAAGAAGATGTCGACATGAACTGAAGAATATGTTGGATGTGAAACCAACTTGTCAGATATTTAAGTCGAAATCCTAGCAAAAAGATGTTGGCATCTGCCTGGGAACTGGAAAAGTTAGTGTAATGTGATCCAAGCACAAACTTGATATAAAGCCGATTTCCTGCTAAATAATTATTTTTTATATATTATCGGCAAGTAAATAAGCAATTTGACATATCCTTCAGTTTATGTCGACACCTTCTTCTGATATTTCAACATCTTCTCATAGTATGTGGACATAAATCAGAGATTATGTCGACATCATTAAATCGAAAGTCGGCAACACGATGGCAGAAATATGCCATCATATAATTGTACATCACTGCTGTTTTGTAAAACAAAAGTGAAATTAGAATCTTCAGACTCCAATGTGTCAAAATGTTGTTACAAAGATAAGCATACAAGTATTAATTAACACTGGAGCATTCCTGTGTTTTTTAGAAGAAAATAAATTAGATAAGAAAATTAAATATATACACCACAACAAGTCTAATAGAACAAAATGTGTGTGCTTTAATTTGCACATTGTCAGAATGCTAAGTGTTGCTAGTCCATCTTGATCTCTACACATTTTTATAATTCAATTTTTCACACCCTCGTGTACGCCTGTATGTGGTATGTGGATTTAATAGGTTTACTTGGGGCACGTTTTAAATGGTCAGTTTGTTTGTGCTTTACGCCTTACTAATAGCTACGATCATTTAAGTACCAGCCAGGTTTTGGTGGTAAAACCACCGACCTGCGGCCAATACCTGGCGACTGCCCCACTTGGACCTCAAACCTGCAACCCAGTGGTGGAGGGCTAGAGATCATAGGCAGTCAGATTCCTTAACCACGGCACATTTTTTTTTAATGTTTATCAGAATGCACACATCCGAAACACTTTAAGTTAATTCAAGGGAGGTAATTTGTACACAATTTGGAGGAGTATTTTATATATTCCTATACATATTTTAATTTTTCAGGGCGAAAGCAAGCGGAATATGCTGGTCAACGACTCAAAGATCTTGGTTTGTCCTATACCGTCCTCCTGTCGTCAACCATGACTCGTGCAAAGGAAACCGCCGATATCATACAAAAATTCTTCCCTAATTTGCCACGTAAAGAGACTGACATGCTCCGAACAGGGGCGCCAATACCCCCAGAGCCACCTAATGATCATTGGCAACCAAAAAAACAGGTAAACTAGTATTGTTCGAATACCTATTCAATACAGTGTGTATACGCTCTCTATTGATAGGCGAAACATCCTGCCTCGAAGATTTAATTTTGTCACATTGGTATACAGGTAAACAATACAAGTCAACCACTCAGTCATAGCTTGACAAAGGGACCACCTAAAAATGTGTGACACGTTCAATACATTTATTGATTGTGTATAAAGTAAAGCCTTGATATTACATATTTCAAAACTGATGAAACTTAATGAAAATTGAATTGCTCTGTTTGTAAAATACAACCTGTCTGATATGTGGTTAATCTTGACTGGATGTTTGTCTATAACATTTTTGATAACCAGTTATTCGTCTGATTTTGTATAACAATATCACTTGGATCAATATACATATTTTCAGCAGTTTCTCCAAGACGGAGCACGTATAGAAGCTGCTTTCAAAAACGTGTTTCATCGTGCGGATCCCTCTCAGGAAATCGACAGCCATGAGATAGTGGTGTGTCATGGTAATGTCATACGATACTTTGTGTGCAGGTAAGATTGTATTGTGTCAGAAGATATATTTTTGTATGTAAGATTTTATTCCCTGTATGATTTTTGTGGTGTTATAAGATATTTTGTTGCAGGATTTAATATGATCTTGATGCACAAACATGTATGAAAATGCATGGGTCCTCGGAGTATGTGTAATGGGGGTCTAACTAGCAGACTGGGCCTGGGTTTGAGTCACGGGCCTTCTCACACAGATGAGAATGTCGCAAATATTACTGTATATCGGGAAATTTTAACCCGATTAAATTTTCGACTGTCGATGGAAAAAAATAATTCCTATGATATCAAATTTGCCATTCCTATTTCATTACGATGTATATTATGTTGTTTATAAATGTTCTCTGTAATGATGAATTTGGCCTATTTTTGGAGGGCTCAAGTGACCTATTGCTATCCGTCTTCGTCCGTTGTCATCCGTCGTCCGTCATCCGTCGTGCGTCGTCCGCCGTCCGTCGTGCGTCGTGCGTCGTCTGTTAACATTTTACATTTTCAACTTAAGCTGAAATGCCGGAAAGGGATTTCATTAATATTTCATGGGAAGGTTGCTGACATCTCCCTGACCAAATGTTGTTATTTTTCGGGTAGATCAGAAATCCAATATGGCCGCCATTTTGAAAAACTATTTCAAACTTAAAGTCAAGTTCTGCTGGGCCGATTGAACTGAAACTTGGTAGGAATGATCGACTCATGGTTCTGACAAAGTGTTGTTATTTTTCGGGTCGATCAGAAATCCAATATGGCCGCCACGGCCGCAATTTTGAAAAAATATTTCAAACTTAAAATCAAGTTCTGCTAGGCCGATTGAGCTGAAACTTTGTAGGAATGATCGACTCATGGTCCTGACAAAGTGTTGTTATTTTTTGGGTCGATCAGAAGTACAATTTGGCTTCCATGGCCACTATCTTGACAAGTTTTAATGGGCCGATCTAACTGAAACTCGGTCCAAGAAAGATCAGCTCATGTTCCTGACAAACTTAAGTTAACGTTATACTTAACAATTTTTTACTCAAATTGGTACATAATTCAACAACAAAAATAAATACTGTAGGCCTCGGGTGACCGCTGAGGCCCATGGGCCTCTTGTTGAATACAATGCAGGTTTTCAACAATTGGGCTCTGGTCTCAAACATATCGTTGACATCTGAGAAAAAGACTGCTTGTGAATTCATTTCTATTGATGATGTTTTTTAAAATTAAACATTTTGAATATATAGTTGTGTGCTGAAAGACCTGATGATACCTGACTTTATTTTATCAGGGCTCTACAGTTTCCTCCAGAAGCTTGGATTCGTATTAGCTTAAATCACGCAAGTATCACATGGATAACGATACGACCCTCCGGTAGAGTGTTCATCCGTCACCTGGGCGAGTCCGGGTTCATGCCAGCTGACAAAGTGTCCGGTGATTGATAGGAGGACGATGGTTTTACATTGTTTTGAAATAAGTGAGTGTGTACCAGTGGATGATATTATTGGTGGTGTAAGTTTGAGGAGAGTAACCATTGAAAAGTTGACTGTCAATGGTTTTAATATTACTTTGTGGAACACGGCGGTACCAACATTGAAGAAATGGCAGTTTTCATCAATTTATGTTAGAGTGTTGAACATAGGGAGCAGGAAATACTGAAGTAATGGACATCGGAGTAAAGTTTGTGCTGTAAAGCAGGAAATTTCATGTTCCTGTTTAATATCAATCCTCTTCACCCTAGAAGAAGGAAACAGATTCAAAGAAACGGCAGATTCAACTTTTGTTAAAATTGATAACAAAAGTTCAGTGTTCAACCCGCGGCAAATTTGTAATAAAATTGTCACAGCAAAAAAATTTGTTGAAGTCTATATACCGTTATTGTATCTTCCTATTTTGAATGGAGACTCCTTAATTTTTTCACCTTTATTTCTGTCTTTTGAATTTGGAAAAAAATCAAATAATCTTGCTTGCTTTGGATCAGATTTGTTTAATATATTGTATAAAACAGCTTAAATTTATAGTATTTTACGATAATTGTATGGGTTATTATATTTATAATGTTAAGTCAATTTTATAATTTGTCGCAAAATTTCTCCACAAGAAACATTTTGAAAGTTTTGCAAAGATGATATTTTTCATATAACTATTATCTTGATATATCTGACTCTCGTTGTGCGGATCATATAATTCTTATCAAACATGTAAAAACGGGCGATATATGTAATCTTTATACAAGAGGCTAGTCTACTTTATTAGGGAACCAGGTACAGTAACCGAACTCTATATATAGATCTTTCTACAGTCTGAAGCTACTGCCGAGCAGGTCAGGTCAGCCTTAGGGTGTTAAGTGATTTCAAATCAAACAGGCTTATTGTGGCCTTTCATGCCTATATGTCAATTACTCTATTTACATATTAAGACAATTTGTGTTGTTCTTTTCCTTTTATTGTGGATTCCCATTAATATTATACAAAATGCAGAATATTTTCATAATTTTTTACAATATTTGGCTGTTAGGAGTGGAAACCTACTGAAAATTTTATTTCAGATAAAGAGTACCATATTAGTACCATTGTTTATATCGTCAAGTATTTGTCAAAGTCATCTCCTAAAGAAGTATTCCATAAAAAATCACATGATACATTACATTTTATAGAACTGAAAAGTCATTTGAAATTTTGAATTTTGAAATATTAAAATGGAAACAACAAAAACAAGAAAAAACAACAGTTGTCAACCTCATGACCTTTACACTGCTAATATCACGCTTAACCAATGATGCCATTCATGAATCATAAATGCACAGCATCAAAATGAATGTCCACTGTGAAAAAGAAATGAACATTGTTTTAGTTGCTCAATCTTCTTCCTAAAAGGGACACAACTCCAAGTGAAAAAACTCTAACAAAACTCTTTTTTTCACAAATATAGCTGAAGCAGTGGTACCGTTTAACTTAAGCAAAATCAGAAATTGTATAAATGTTGTATTTACAATGACTTCCCTATTTCTACATTGCCTGTATATGTTATAGACTAGACTATTTATCTACAAATGAGATTCACCCTGCACTTTGACTACAGATATATTGTATAGATTAAACTTTTTTCATCAACTCTGACTTTCGTTTTTTCTTACGAGTATTTGTTCCTGAGGGCATTTCAAATGCGTTTTTTGAAAAACAGGGATACTATGTTAAATTCTCCCATCTGTCATTCTGTCCCACATTGCATCCCAAATAATAAAAAAAATAAACCTAATCTAGAACTACATTGCACTCTTCGGAACGACAATACTATAATCGGGGTACTTTGGCTTTGACCTATACAGAGTCAGCTGATCACACATACTTGTGTTTGTCGTTTGTTTCAAATTATGAATGTTATGTGATAAATAGAATCGTTCATGAGTGTCCATGTCATATTGAATTTATGAAACTCATTATGACTCTCTTTCGAATGATGGAAGACATATTTAGACATACTGTATTAGTGCTGGTTCTTCTTCTGGTTCTTCCTCTGGTTCTTCTGAGCGCAACTTGTCAAGGGCCATAACTTTTAAACCGTTAAAGATATCTTGATTAAACATAAAGTATACCTGATCACCCACAGAAGGTGTGCAGTGCACTAGAATTAGGTCTCGTGCCCAACTTTATATTTGCCCTATGTTTATTTTTAGTCCGACCCTCAAAATAGCGATAATCACCTGAGACCACGCCTTTTGTCCGTCGTCATGCGTCTGTAAACAATTTACATTTTCGACTTCTTCTCGGAAACCGCTGATCCAATTTCAATAAAATTTTGCAGGAACCTTCCTCGGTCAAATATGCACCAAATTTGTGAAATTTATGGTTCCTTCCCCCAGGGGCTCTGAGGGGCGGGGCTAAAAGGGGTCAAATTGGCTTAAATTTAAAAAAATTTCTTCTCCAAACCCAGATATGCTGGAAACCAATACTCTTCTTAGGTGGAAAGGTCTTGAGGCACTTTATCAAAATTGTGCATTTCGTGACCCTCGAGCTTCATGTTTGCCCCTATAGCTAGGGAGGGGGTGAAATTTGTTATAGTTTATATAGGAAAATGCAACTTTGGGTATATTTTGTTAATTTTCTACTGGAAATCATTCAAACTTGATTTACATTATAACCATGAGATGACAGTTTGATACTTTGACAATTTTTAACCCAGTCTCATCCCCAGGGGATGAGGGGTGGAGCCCAAATAGTGTCATATAGCCAGAAATTTCAACAGTCATCCTCTCCAGATTGAGATAGGCTGGAAACCAATACTCATCATAAATGGAAGGGTCTTGAGGTGCTGTATCATAAATGTGAATTTCACGACCCCCAGACTTAATGGGCCCCCGCCCCCGCCCCCAATGGCTGAGGGGTGGGGCTTTGCCTCGGGAAAAAGACCTGGTCTCGGGACACCAGAAACTTGCTATATCCCCATACTTTAACTGTATATTAATTAAAGGACCATAACAACATTTGCTAAAACATTCATTGCTTGAATAAATGCAATTGCCAGATATGAATATTCCACATAAAGGTGTTTTAGTCTGACTAGACTGGTTAGGTTACTGTGTTTTATGAACTTGTTTAAAAATATGTCCATGTATTTCTTAATATTACTATATTACATTAGTATTCTTGTAATAAGCCTAACTTGGGATATATGATTGCATGAATCAATGCATACATAATAAGATTAAAGATACTTGAATCTGATTGGCAGACATATTCTGGACAAGAACTTCATAAATATTTTATTGAATGCAGCAAAACGGAAGGTATGCTTGCATAACGCAAATACTTGGGCCAAGTAAGCAAAGTTCACAGTTTGCCAGAATCTATGATGATTTAGTATGAGCTGTCGGTGCATATTGAATTCTTAAACACATTCTAGATAACATATACATGTATATATACAGCTACAGATTGATTTAGGCCAATATTTGATCATGAATGCTTGTAGAGCACTACCGGAATTTAGCAAGTGTTTTAGCTGCATATGTAAAAGAAATAAACAAATAAAGGACGATTAATTCACTGATAATAATGAAAAAGCTGTGTCAGTTACAACTATTTTTACTAAACTACCTTCGTTGTAAAACCATATCACTTAGACATTTAAATATGGTCACTTCCAGGTTTTGACAGCTGAAATCTTCAGAAAAAGATGTTTAAGTTTAACGTCACAGTCCAATTAAAATTATGTTTTCCTTTGCCAAATGAGAAGTAATATTAAGCAAAATCTACTGTATTATAACAGGAACATCATGCTCAGAATACATTCTCATCAAATTTTCAGAAATATTTATAGATATTAGCTTATCTTTAAATGTGCATGCATAATGTCATAACTGCTCAGACGAAGTTTAAAATCAAGTAGAACCCATTTACATGTAATTGGGAAATGGGTACCATTACTTTATTTATTCTTATTTGATGTCCATTTCTGGCCAGTATCATACTTATTAAGTACATATTTTTATAGAAGGTTAAAGGCCTTTAAGGCAGGGTAGTCTAGTGGTAGGACGCCAGGCTCGTGACCGAAGGGTTGCTGGTTCAAGTCGCGGCACGACACTGTGTTGTATCTTTGAGCAAGATACGTTACTCCGCTTGTTCCAGTTTACTCAGCTGTAAATGAGTATGTGGTTCGGCAGTGCTAAAAATGTTGAATGCTGGCTGTTAGTGCCGAAATTGCAGCTCCGGCTGTAGGCACCCCAGGGAGTTGAGGAAAGATATTGGCTGGTTGCAAAAGCCCTATAATGTGAAACGCTTTGAGACGACCTGCGAACGAGTTTGGTTTTATTTTGCTTTAACATCTGAGGTCATTTAAGGACGTGCCTCTAAAGGTGCTGTGTATGTATTACTTTTGTGTAACATCCTATCTATAGCTAAGGTTAATTTAGGATGTGCCTCCATGTGTGTTGTGTAAGCGTGCATGTGAGACCGGGTATGTTGCATTGGGAGACAGTGATAAAGCATATGTTTTATAATGTAAAGGTCCTGAGTTACAACTATAATTCTTTTAAACGCATTGCAACATGTGTGTTTTATGGAATATTTCACAGTAGTGACAATGGTAGTGATATACTTGTTGGATCACTTTGTTATTCATTGTGAAAGACAGTAACTCAGCATTTTGTGACATCCTTGATTTGTTGTTCACAATTGAAGTGATATTCCACATACTATTTACAAGAAATGCAAGTCCATATAAATCATACAGAAGAAGTTGCACTGGTCACGAAGCCCCATATGACGTCATCAGTTGATGAACAAGCCTTTTCAGATCACTATACATCCTACCCATTTAAAACTGAATGTAAAGAAGAGCAGCAAGTACCAATTTTAAGGACTTTGGTTTATCTCGGATAGAAGAGGGAAGTGCGAAAAGAACTAAAACCCAAGTATTGTAATGGGCACCACATTACAACACCTTGTGGCACAAAGTGGGATACAGCAGGTGTATTCTTCCCCCGACCCTGCATACATTACTCCAACATGCCTTCACACTTGGACACACTGCAAGTCGGGGATAGAGAAAAGGATACACCTGCTGTTACATTGATCACAAGAGGCGACTTATGCAGGAACTCCCTTTAGAATCGAAATTTGCGTTTATGCTCTCTACCTGGGGACACGAAAGCAACCAAAATCAATCTGCTGCACCTATTGCAATCTTTGTGATCTTTGTATTTCTCTCTTCTTCTACCTACCTTTTTATTTCTAGTGCCTTACTAAGCACTACCTTACTTTTGACTTTTATCTTGAACGTTTGCCAAGTTTTAGACGGCATTGGGTTCTGTCCCCATGCCGGGACATAACAAAGTCCTTAAACTTGGTAGTTGG